TCCAGTGTCTGCCAACGAGGGGGACGCGTACCCACTGGGGGCTCTGCCTGTCGGCACGCTGATCTGCAACCTGGAGAGCCACCCTGGGAAGGGAGCGCAGTACATCCGGGCAGCTGGTGCGTCCCTAGGCAGGGAACACTGTAGGTTTGGCTTAGCACAGGTGGCGAGGAGGGCAGGGGAGCGCTGCTGTGGGTGGCCAGTGACAGAGAGCTGCAGTCCTCTCTTCTTACCACGATACAGTGCAAAACAGCTCTCCAGAGAGTCAGGGGCAACTCTGCCCTGTTGCTTCCTGTTGATTCCTCCTGGTCCTGTCTTCAGCAAGAAGTGCTGCATTAAGTACAGTGGCAGGGGCTTTGGGGAGTTCCCGGCATGGGGATGTGGTTGCCACACGGTGGGATACTTTGTCCTGCTGCTCATAGCACCTGCCTCCTGTCTTGCCTGCTGCAGGGACCTGTGGAGTGCTGCTGAGGAAAGTCAATGGGACAGCCATTGTGCAGCTGCCCTCCAAAAGGCACATGCAGGTAAAGAAGCCACTCTGTCCTTGACTCGACTCCCTGGGCACACAGCTGTGTGTCTCCAGGGCAGGCTGCAGCTCTTCTCTGTCCCCTAGGTGCTGGAGACCTGCGTGGCCACAGTGGGCCGTGTGTCCAATGTGGACCACAACAAGCGAGTGATCGGGAAGGCAGGCAGGAACCGCTGGCTGGGCAAGCGCCCGCACACAGGTTTGTGGCACCGCAAAGGCGGCTGGGCCGGGCGCAAGATCAAGCCTCTCCCACCCATGAAGAGCTATGTCAACCTGCCACGGGTCACAGCAGTGGAGTGAGGGCAGGGGCCAATAAAGTGTTCTTCATACTATTGCTGTTGTGTTACTGATGCCTTTTCTGTGCACAGGGCCTTGGGGTGCTTTCCACACTTTACTATGGATCGAGTTGAGGTCCCCTGGTGGGAGTGGGGTTGCCAGGAGAGATGCTTGTAGGGCTGTAGACTGCCTTGGCTTGAGTTTGAGGTGTGTAGGTGAGTTGGTGGAGTCAAAGAGAGCTCTGCACAATCCTGCCAAAGCTAGCTGTAGGACAGCCAGGCTCTTCCCTCCCCCACAACTTGTGGGGCAGTTAAGGTAAAGTGAGCAGGAAAGTGGCTGCCAGCCAGGGTGACCTACTACACAAACGGCGAGCACACATCGCAGCACCTTCCAGTCCCGGTAACGCCGTCACTGCT